TTTCTAGGTTTCAATGTTTTATACTGCAATCTAACAATACTGCTCAAATGTTGGAAAAAAACCTCAAAACCTGACCAGTTGTGGTTTGGGTTTGGGGTTAGGAGTTTTGTTTTGTTGATTTATTTCTTGACTTTAAACATTTTTTGTGGGTTGTTTTTGTTTCTTTTGGGAGTGATTTTTGTTTGTATGTTTTCTGGGCGTCTTTTTTTTTTGTTTGGCTGTTTTTTGTTTGTTTTGTTTATTGTTGTTGTTTTTTTAAATTTTGCTGTTGCTTTTCAAGCGTTTGCCATTGTTCTGCCAAAAAATATTTTGATATGTCTCCTTTCCCATATGTGGAGAAGGACCTGGGTGACCATGTAAATTTTGAATACTTACACACATTTGCTTAAGGCCTTGGATTGTACTTTTAGATGTGTGAACTTTGTGCTATTTAGGAAACATACATTCTTCCCTTTCAGTGCTAACAATAAACTTAATTCTAAAAGAGAGTTGAGCTGGTAGTCAAATCTTCACTGATATGTGCATGCCTCAAGTGTGCTTGAAATGGTATTTAAGTGTTAGTGCACTATGTCTTTTTTTTTGCTCCATTATAACAAGTAAATGATGGGTTTGATAGTAATGCAATGCAGAAATACCTAATACTTAAAATTCTTCTCTTTTCTTTCTCAGCATTATATTGGTTGTTATTGATAACTTTGCCTATTTGTATATGGATTTAAAAGGCACATTTTTTTAAAACTGTTTGTGAATTGCTCTATATTTGACTTTTTTTTTACTGAGGATTTTTTTTTGTAATTGAGGAATTTTTTTTTATTGAGGAATTATATTTTTCCACACATAAAACTGTGGAAAACCTATATTTCCAAGATGTAAATATGATTGTTTTCTGTCTGTTAAGGGTGGAATCACATGATCTTTTGGAACTTCATTTCCTGAGAAGGGATATATGGGTATAAGAGCATGATTGTGTTTTACAACATGTAACAGGTATAAAGCTAGTGAAATATCAAATTTTTTGTGGTAGTGAGGAAACTTACTAAATGTACTTGATTTCCAAAATGTCCTAGCAACAGAACTGTTTAACTGAGAATTTGTAGCAAAGTGTTTGAGGCCATTGCTTCCCTAAGACAAGTGGGGAATTGCTGCAGATTTTCCTTGCATTACTTAGAGTGAAGTTTGAGGGCGATCAAGTCAAAACTAAGATTTGATCTCAGAACTAATTAGTTGTAGCTCTCTTGTGTTTTGGCTTGGATTTTTTATATAGCTTAAATTTTCGGAGATTTGAGAACTAAAAACTGTCTTAATTTTTTCTTCCAAAAATATGAACTCATCAAATCAGGTATTCTAAATCTTACCAAAAGGTGCTGACAGCATCAGGCCTAGAATATTTTATCAGAAGTTAGAAGGAACCTTTAAGAAAGAATTGATTTATAAAGCGTGGGTCTCAGTTCTCCAAGATGAGAAAATATGGGATGAGTTACAACAGTTGCCTAGTTGCAGTGATACTTTGGTTCAGCCAAAGAAAACATACTTCTAGTCTGCTTTCTTCTGTTTTGATCTGCTAACTGTTGCTCCTTACCTTGCAGAATAAAAAGGTGTGATGTGAGATTCTCAAATCTGGTTCACTGTGTCCTCACAGTTCATAGAAGTGCAAAGCACAGGAAAGCGGAGTCTGGCAAACAGCTGGCACATTCTGTTATGTTTATGGGTTTTTGTAAGATTGTGTGCCAGAAAGGACCATACCCAGAAAAGATGCTCGGATAGGAGGCTTTGAACACACTTCTTGTAGAAACAAAGTGATGGTACTCGTCTTTTTACAGAGAGTAGCAGACTTTGCTATACAAATTGGCCACAATTCTGCAAAGGAAGAAAAAGAGTTTAATTTGACATCTCCTTAGGATTTAAGACCAAAAGCTTAGGAAGAGGAACTAACATTAAGTATTTTTATATAGCTTAAATTATTGAACTTTAGTTAGCATTGGAGAAATTACCTTTGTGGTGTTGATAACTTTTAGAATGTGCCACTGATTCTGTTGGATTTGAACAGATAATCTCAATTGAAAAGCCAGCATGTCAGATCTTTTTTTTTCCTCTTGTGAGAAAATAAAATCTTAGATCTCGGTTGGCAGTCATTACCATACCATAAACATGTGCCTCACAGAAAATGCCACCTGGGCCTTTGTGTGGTTGTTTCCTGCTCTTTGTTAAAGGTGAATGGAATTAGCTTTGCCCTAGGAATTCTTGATTCCTCCATGGCAAGCACAGAGCAGCAGTGGGTGAGAGCAGAGCTCCATGCAGAGGAGAATGCTGTCCAGGTGTGGTGGGCTGTCAAAGTTTTCCCTCTTACTGTGGAGGAATTAACGTGTACGGGGGAGAGAGAGGAAGAGAGTAGAAGGAGGCACTTGTGGTTAAATCTGCAGTTGTAATCTTTTTGTGTTGATAATGGCAAAGCACTGTAAGAAAAAGCTGAGAGCTTCAAAGTACTGAGCTTTTTAAAACTTCTAGCTGGAAAAAGGAATGCTCAGAGTTAATTGTTTTAGGCTTTAGCAATCAATGGTTTTCAAGTTTCAGGTGTTGTTTTTTATTTTGCTTGTTTGTTTGTGGTTTTGTTTTGGGTTTTTTCTGTTTAGTGGTTGCTTTTCCAATAGTGGAAAGTAATTGGGTCTATGTTCAGACTATGGATAGATTCCAACACTAATTTTTAGAGTTTTAAGTTTTAAATTTTGTCATTAATTTTATAAGGATTTTGGCTTTTTTTTAGCAATCAACGGCATTAAAAAGTAAGGTACAACCAGATTTACATTTTTAGCATCTTTTGTATTTTCAGTTTTTGATGTTGATATATTTTAAAGTTGAGCCAATGTTGATAAAGTATTTGTAAAATGTGTTAAAATTTGGGGATAATTTGTACTTTTATGAGAAGGCTTGATTTGTTACAGAGAGTTTGCCACTTTGGGGACACTTCCACATTACTTGTTTTTAAGCAGCAAAGTAAGATAGTGCCTGTTTTCTCCTGCAAGGAAACTGCAGCTACTTAGAAGATGGCATCAGGCAGTGCTTTCAGTTTAAAAAAAAACATGGGCAACTCTCTTAATCCTCAGGTAGAATGATGAGAAATGAAACAGCTCTCATGTGTTGGTGTGCACTGTGATGAATAGCTGTACAGCTTGAGTCTTTCATTTCAAGATTGAGTTTCACTGAGTGGAGCAAGTGGGTTTTGGAGTGGTCCTGAGTGTCTTGCAAATAACACAGCAGTCCCCAGAGGTCTGAGATAAACCAGTTTCCCTTAGCTAAGCAAGCAGGTAACTTAAGGACTTTTCCAGAAAGTCTGAATGTAAATACACCATACCTGTTTTTCAAAGCAAGGGAAAGGAGCTCATCAGGCACGATTGGATGAAGTGACTTTACTTTCAGTTGCTCTTTGGGACATTTTTTCCTAAGCAGGTCAGAATATATATGCAGTAAGCTGTGATCTGGTTTTTAAGCTATATTATTTCTGGTTTTCTTTCTAATTTTTAGTTTGTGTATCACCAATAAGGGTTGGTTGTTTTAGGATTTTTTTGTGTTAGGGTGATAAGATAGTGGAAGGCAAAGAAAATAGAGTAAAGGTGGAAAAAGAAAAAAAGAAAATTGACTGTAACTTTTGATTGTTGCAGTTCTCATATTTTTAGTGTGTTTTGTATTCTATAATAAAGGGTGGATCTTACTTTTTTTCCTTCATGTGCCCTTTTTGGATACAATTTTATCACTCTGCTGTACGGGTTCCTGTGCTTGTTCCTGCAGCAGTTCATTTCAGCCTGTTGCCTTTCCATATTAGCATCGGAAATACCTATTCCTTTGTGTTATTGTTACAATACTGGCTTTATAGAAATTTATTTGACAAGTGGGAAAATTGTAATCATGTAACTTCATTTCCAGATCTTCAGTTCATTAGCCAACTTGGCTAAAATCTATAAAATGTACCAGTTCTATTCACTTTGAAGTTTTAGTAGCATTTTTGTTGTTGTTGGAAAAGTTTCCACTGTTAGTATTGTGTTCCCCTGAGAGAATTTGTAGCCTGCAAGAAATCTTACTGGTATGCAGACTGTAATATCCTAGGCTTTGTATTATGCTGTGTTGTGCCATAATGGTTTTATGTCTGTTTCCATTTGACATCTCAATTAGGAGCTTATTGGAATCACTGGTTTCCTTTTTGAAACTTTCTGTTTTCAGTCTGCCCATGAAAACAAAATTATTTTCTTGTTAGCAGACATTAATTTGAATATAAAAATTAATTTAGTTGTCCTGGAGAGATTTTTCTGCTCTTTGCTCCAAGAGAGTTTCTTTCTTTTAAAAGAAAAATCTGTTGTGGATGAGTGGAAGGTGTGATGGCCATAATACTCTCGCATCTTTAAGTGAAACAGTGTGTTCTGTAGAACAGACTTTGTTTGTATTGCATTGCAAAGAAGGCAGGATTTTGGTTCCTGCATCACATTTCAAGATACCCCATGCATCATCTGTCTATTACACCTCTCTCTGGCTTTATGAATTTTACTCTGGGAACTTTTAAATACACTATTCCTTTTAAATACACTATTCCAGAATAATTGTAGTTAGTTTTCTGGGGTTTTTACTATTATTTTTTTAAATTTAAATATATTCCTGTGGACATTTGAGTTATTTATAATGTAAGATCAGATCTAAAACATGTGTTGATTTTTAGAGTGCAGCAGAGACAGTATGTTAGCCCTGGCATGAGTGTGATTGTAGCTGTTCACCTTTCAGTTATTCCTAATCTCTTTTTTTCTTCAGCATGACTTTTGTTGCATATCCCAATAGGGAATATTATTTGTATGTTAAAACCAGATTTAGATCATAGTGTTACAATAGTCTTGGAATAAAATATGAATTTATCTGCCAATTTGATATGAGAAAAGACATTTCTGTATTTTGATAAAGTTGAGGAGCCAATATATGTGCCTGGATTGCCATTTTCTTACCAATTCTTTCATTTGTTGCAGCTCATGGACAACTTTACAGGAATTGAATCACCTCACAGGAATTAGATCACCATTGCTTGTAAAGATCTTTTCTTCCCACCTGTAACCAGTTTTCTTGATTTACAGAAGAGGCAGCTGTTAGTACAGATTCTTTTCTCATTTATATACTGAGTGGGAGGGAAAAAGCACTCTCTGCTGCAGATATGAGTGATTGTGACTGTTTTTCATCATTCTGTTGCCATTATTTGAGTTCTTGTGCTTAGATACAAATGTTCCTGAGAAGGAAGGTAGGCCAGATTTGGTAGCTTTCAAAAAATAAAGGCTGTACACAAGGCATAACTACATTCTGGAACATTTGTGAAACATTAGTAAATGGTGAATACCATAAAAGGTTAGACAGCATTTATTTCTGCTCTTTGCTGATCTTTTGTGTTCCCTGCTTCTTTGTTATCTGTGTGCTGGCCCTTCGATTTCAGCAGGTGCAAAATCAAATAGTCAAAATTGGTGCTAAAATAACTCTGAAGTGTAAACTTCTAATAAAAGTTGTTTTTATCTGAGATAAGTTAAAATACTTGTGAATTATGACTGTTAAAACAGTAAAGTCTTAATATATGCATAAGCACAATGTATGAAGTATTCAGTATATTCTGAATGGATTTATTGGAAACATTTGGAAATTTTTGTGGCATGATTCCATTTTCTTAGTCTCAATAAATTTTGATATACACTTAATTTTTTTTAGTTAAGCCCAGGATACAGTATTTTCCTGTCCAATCTTTCCCCTTTTATTTCCTTCCACATCCCCCCCACCCCTGCTGCCCCCCCACCTTTTCCCTGTTTCATGAAGGAAGAACACATTTTCTGCTGGGAAGAAAAATAGCTTTTCTTTCAAAACACTTGAAAGCAGCTGTCAAACATCAGATTCTGTTTAACGTTGCTTTTTGTTTGGACTTGGCGTTAGGAGGTAGGAGCCCAGCTTTTCACTTAGCAAATTTTTTTGTTCAGCAACTGATTTGAGAACTGCTTGACATGGTAAGAGATAATAGTATTATTACTTTAAGAAGTCATTAATTTTAGGCTGTTTTTTGTCTAGGTTTTTATCCCGTTTTTTGGTAAAGATGGCAGCCAACAATGCAGTGCTGAGCAGACTGGAGCAGAAGGGTGCTGAGGCCGATCAAGTCATTGAGTACCTCAAGCAGCAACTTGCCCTGCTTAAGGAAAAAGCCAGTAAGGATTTATCTATCTTATGCTAAATCTATTAACCAGATGGTTAACAGTAAATGCACATAGGAGAAAATGAGAATGTTTGGTGTGTCAGCCTTTAAAGCATTTCAAGTTCTCCAAGATAAACCTTGCAATCGTAGCCCCACTTGACTGTCGTGTGGGCTGTGGGGGTTTTGTTCTCGTTTGGTTTGGGTTTTTTTGAAGCTGCTTACTCTGAAATAGGAGAGGTATGGATGAGGAAGAATTAAACCACAAATTATGGAAATTTGATAGAACATGATTCCATTTGAAGAGAGAAAAGGAGTTGGAAAGAATACGAGACTATGCCTTATCCTGAATTTAGTACTGAATTTTCACACCTAAGGCATTCTCTCAAGAGTGTCATAGCTTCAGTTTTGATCTTTTGTATTCAGCTGTATCAGTGAACAAAGATGCTCTCTATTACAAACATCATCATGGTTTTTCTGTAGGTTTCTCAGAGTTTTTTCTTGTGATTCTGTTTAGGGGACTGAGAAGATAGTATATTGAGAGGCAGATTATATAACTATTGTTAAAATGTCTATTTCAACAACAAAGAAAATAATTCCTAAGTATTTCTGATTATATACTCCTTGAAATTTTTCACTTTTGTGCTGTTTGGCTCACCATGTTTCAATTTTCTTTAAAAACATAGCTTTGTGTCCATAGTGATCAATGCTAGTTACTGAAACCTGTTGGTTTTTTTTTTTAATGTGTCAACTCTAGTCTTGCAAGCATCTCTTCGAGAAGAGAAGAAGCTCCGTGTAGAAAATGCTAAACTGAAGAAAGAAATTGAAGGGTTGAAACAGGAGCTGATTCAGGCTGAAATTCGAAATGGAGGTGGGGAAAAAAGTGCTACTCTCATGCAAATTGGTGTAGTTAGCACAAAACTATCTTGAGTTTTGTTGTTCTGCATGTGACTCTATGGTACTTCTTACAAATTCTGGATTTTCCCTGATTCCATGCTTATGAAAAATTACTTTTTCCAACATTTTAATATTCCAGCATTTTAATAAGCTGCTGGTCTGACAGATCTGTATACTAAATTTAATCAGACATGGAACTAGTTCTTTGTATTTTTTTATTCAGTGCCTTGCATAATAGGCCATGAACCTCACTGATGACAATGACTCCTTGTAATTCTGTAGAAATTGCTACATGTCTAACTCTTCTGGTTTAATCTAGCATGACTGAAAAATCACTATGGAAAGATCAAGCCATGGTGCAAAGTACAGATGGTCAGGGACTTACTAGGAAAGCTGTGGTTATGTAAATTTATAAACAATGTGTTCTGAATTTATGATTCTGTGCTTTAGACCAGCCTTCCATTGGACTTACTCTTTCTTTGCACTCCTCTATGTAGTTCTATTCAGTTTATACCATCATTATATACTTCATAGTAAAAAAAAAAAGGAAAGAAGGAAAAAAACCCAAAACTGAAGTGTTTCAGATACACTGTTGTCTTTTAAAATTATTGCCAAAAAGTCCTTTTCTGCCCTCAACAGTTATTGCTATTAACCCATGCTATCAGAATTCTAAATTGTGTAAGATAGTATCCAGTGTATCTGGATGCTGGCATTTAACTTCACTGAATGCTTAACTGGTGTAAAAGCACGTTCAGTCTTCAAAAAGATTAACATGTGAATACAGAGAATTATTTTTCTCCTTTGGACACCAATAAAGCCTTTTCATGTACTAAACCAAACCATTACTTATATTTCTCAGTGTCTTTTAGTCTGCAGCAGTTCTTGACAAGTGTGGGATATTCCACAGAATCTGTTGTGCTTGAGAAAGGTCTGAAGGTATATTGGTCCAAGATGGCAGAGGAAATACTTGGTGTGCATCTTCCTTTAGTTAGCTAGTTCATCTAAGTGGTAGTAGGACTAAATTCAGATCTTTTCTTTTGAAGGGAGTAGATGTTTGTTAGATCTGAAGGGACTAAGTAGTTAAGCACAGAAATTAGATGGACATGGAAGATCAAAAATATCACAAGATGTTTTTTCAAAAACCTGAGAAACAAAGACTTTCCTCAGCTAGCAAGCAAGTGGTTGTTGGTACAACAAATTTCATATTCAAATTATTTTAGAAGGCTGTTTATAAGAATGTAATTTGTGCAAATCACTTGTGTGTTGAAGAGGACAGGCATCAACTAACAAAGTGCAGTTCTTCAGGAAAGTTAGATATCTGAAATGAAAAACAAAGCATGTATTCAGTTTATGTATTCTGAATGGAGAATTCTGTCATGGTGACACCAGAAGGATGTTTCAGTTGTTAATGATAAAACATTGAAAGGATTGAAAGGAACTTGAAAAGATCCTCTCATCTAACCTTGCTTGGGAAAGGGAACCTTGATGGTACTGCCTGATGATGCTTACCCTGTACAATTATTGGCTTAAAAGCCTTAATGAGATTCTTGAAGAGCAGAATGTAGAAGAGAGGTGCTTCTTACGCTTCCGTCTGGTAAGACTGATAGTGCAATCTCCAGAATTACTGTATTAAACTGAATTACAGAATTAAACTGTATCAGCAGTTTAAAAAGAGCTGTTGAAGGTAATACGGAGAATTTAGAGAAAAGAGAAATCAGCAGATCACATTAGGGCTGCAGATAATTTTTTTTTATTCAGGCTCAGTTTCTTAAGTTAATCATAAGAGTTGATGGATGATCTGAATATGCTATAAAAATGCTTTTGTGCATAACTCACTTATGCAATAGTCTCCATTATAACAAGAGCTAGTGGCTATAAACTGAAGCTAAACAAATGGGAAATAGGGGATTGGTAAAAAAAATAACTAGATGTTGAAATCAGCTACAAAAAGAGATGCTGTTTGCTTATATATTTTCTTGTATTTAGGACTTTTTCGCATTTAAAAATGTGTAATCAAACACTTTGTTTTTATTGATCATAATAATCATATATAGATTAAGTTCTGAAACGTGTTTTGTAATGTGGTCCACTACTTAGCGGTTGTGGTTTAGTATATTAAGCAAAATTTTCAGTTCTCTCTGCTTTTTCATTTACCTTGTACATTTAGAAATGTCAGTGTTCTAAGTTCTGGTGCTGCCCCTAACTTTTGTGGTTTTGATTTTAGTAAAGCAGGTTGCAGTTTCTACTGGTACAACCCTTTCTACAGCTTCATTTTCGGAGAATGTTCCACAACCTACAGCAGTTACAGCATCTTCTGGTTCCAAAGATCAAATTAAAGGTGAAGAGGAAGAAAAGAAAAAGAAAGAAAAAGTAGAGAAAAAAGGTACTTTTCTTATCTCTGATAGGCAGTTGAGGTATTTAATTTATGCAAGTGCTTTTGCATGATTTTGAGGGAAAAAAGCTTTCATACAGCTACAGTAGGAAGAGTCGTGCTAGCTCTTAAATCTTGAAAATACTTGAAGCTAATGATGGTTGTCAGGTAAGCTACAGTCTTCATTGCATGGGATACATGCCAAATTCTGTTTAATGTGACTGCACTTCCTCATTTAAAAAAACACCACCAGCAAAAAACAATGTCTGTTGGACGCCTGTACTTCTGTGCAAGTGTATCTTGTAACTTACTAAGTTTTGCAGTCATTCTCTTATGCGGATTATTATTAATTTGCTATGATTAGATTTGTACAGGTTTGCAGAATTTGGATATTATGATAGTGCACATTCCTTTTTTTTCCTGGTGAGTTGTACAGCTACTTATAAGCTATTTTATATTTTTTAATGTATTTCAGCCTTTGACACCTTAATATTCCACAGAGTTGTAAATACAAAAGCAGAGGCCGCATGTCATAGCAGGCAATTAAATTTTTCCCTCAAGTATTCAGCAGCTACAGAGCAAACATTCAGTTAGTAAGGAAAAATAAAACTTTCTATATATGATGAGGGAAAGTACAATACAAGTAGCTTAAGTTCAGTCAGACAAACACAGATCACAGAATATTCTGAGTTGAAATGGACCCACAAGCATTATCAAGTCCACCTCGTAAGGGAATGGCCCAAACAGGGGTTGAACCCACCCATTTGGTGTTGATGATGCGGACCAACTCCGCTCATCTCATATGGAAAGCAGTGTTACACCTTTGTCTTATGCTGAAATATAGCACAAACATTAAATAGTAGTCCTGCACAGGCTGTTTCTGTGGAGTTCAGCATCTGTTGTAGGTATTGCATTTAACATTTGAAGTAACTAATATGTAAAATTGGTTTTTAAGTCTAGAAATTAATGAAATTATGGACTATCTCAAATCCCTTTGCTTTCTGTCACCTATGTCATCTCTTTCCTTTCTGGTTATTTTCATCTTCTTTGTTCTGCTTCTTGCAATCTTATCTGTATGATTTCTCTGTAAATGGATTCTGGACTGACTCTGACACTGGCCAGAGGAGTGCGTTTTTTTCCTTAGCCTGTGGCATTGAAATGGATATTTTTTATGTATCTGTATGTATATACACTGTGTACGCGTTTGCTGTGTTCTCTTTTGAGGAAAGGTTTCATTTCTCTTGTAGAAGAATGTCATGGAGAACAGTGTGGAATTATACCAAGGATAAACTTAGCAGGTCTTTGAAATGATCTTAGGTATTATATGTTAGCTATTTTGATTGGGATTTTTATCCAGTGTCTCTTACATTATGGAATATACAACTGATTTTATTAATCAAATTGTCAATTACATTAAAAACCCAAATCACTAGAGCTTTTCATCATAAATGAGCAAGTATTTTTGAAGAGCTGTTGCTTATATTAAAAAATTTGCCTTTTTATTATTGAATGTATCATTTCATTTCATGCCTGTACTAGAAGAATTATGAATGAAATCAAATTGCACATTGTGTCCACTTTACCTTTTTGCTCCATTAAGAAGGGAGTTAGTTTACATTAATATGTAAGTTATCTTGGATGAAAGAATAACAGAATATGCTTATTTAAGGTAAGCACATCTTAGATTTTTTTAATCTCCCAGAGATTATAGCTGTTAAACAAGTCTTTAATGTCTCCAAAACAGCACAGTCTTATTTATAAACTTGCTCATCTTGAAAGGAATATTGCATATTTTATGATTCCATTATTTATATAAGCAGCTGAGTATGGGGAGTTTTGCTTCAATATTGTTTTATACTACACAGTCTTTTCTGTGATGATCATGGGGTAAATGCACCACACCAGGGGCATCTCATAAGCCATGAGCATTTTCATGCACTCTTGTGTTTGGGAAGTGCAGAATTTTGGCTAATGTCATCTTGAAGTGTTGCATTGCAGCTGGAGCAGTGCAGCTGCAGTGACCTCACAGCTCGTGGCTGTGTACCATGCTGATAAGCACTGATAACCCTTTGGACTGTGATTATCAAGTTTCCTTTTGCTGCTGAAACACCATGGCAAGGCTTACTGGTAATTGCTAATTATTTGAAAGGGATGATCAGGTAATTCATGTGGCCTTTGTCAGAGTATGTGTGTCACACATTAGCTACACTTAAATTCAGGGTGACTTTGCAAACAGAAGGTGGTAATAAGTTTAGGTAATGACATAAATGGAAGTGTGAACGATAATTCACCACTGGAAACTGGTAACAGAGGTGCTAACTCTTTATTCTTTTGTGTTTTGCACAGAATTTATGCCTGTTTCTGAAACTGTAGCTCACTTTTCCCTTTCAGTAGTCATATACATTAGTTGTGCTTTTTTTAATGTTTATTTCATGGAACAAAATGTTCTCTAATAGGTGAAAAGAAGGAGAAGAAACAGCAGCCAGCTGCTGGAAGTGGCGATGCGAAACCTGTAGACGTTTCTCGTCTGGATCTTCGTGTTGGCTGCATTATTAGTGCTGAAAAGCATCCAGATGCAGACACTCTGTATGTTGAACAAGTGGATGTTGGTGAAGCAAGCCCAAGGACTGTTGTCAGCGGTTTAGTGAAACATGTTCCTCTGGATAAGGTATTGACAAAATTATTTACTGATAGCTTTTCCTTTCCTAAAGTATCTTAAGGCATTCATCTGTTTATAGGATATGTTTTTATTCTGCTAAAAGATTTGTACAGTCATGAAAACAAAAATAAAATGCAGATGGAAGTAATACTTAATAACATTTGCCAGAAACCAGAGAAGTGCCCTTACCCCAAATCAGTTTCTGATGGCAGAAACTTCTATCCAGGGATCTTATTCCAATTCCTCTGCCATCAGTGCGCACCGAACTCCTAAACTAAACAGATGTTACTCTTCCTTTAGGTTTCCTACTATGTAGTAGAGAAGCCATAGTCACCTTTTTGGTATGATCCAAACTTTTGAAACCTTTTCCTTCCAATTCTCTTTTATAGCTTGTTGAAATATTTGGCATGAAGTAAAGCAGAGAGCATGTAAATTCAACTTAGCTGGCAATGAATAGCTTAAACAACAGTAGAATACAAAATGCATACTTTTACTTCCTTGTGCAGAACAGAATCTGTGTCCATGCTTTTTTCAGTTGATACGCTTTGGTGTTTGACACAGATGGTTTGTGGGTGCCTTTGAACAACCTGAGACTTCAAGATTTAGTTTTCCTTTCACACCTCTTCTGGAGGGTGAGAGGAGTTTACTAAAGGTTGTTCCTGAATTCAAATGCAAGCTTGGCATTTAAAACAGTGTTGTGTAGAGCAACTGCAAAATGGATCATGAAGGAATTGATCTTAGCCTGGAAAAAGCTCCACTTTCTTAAATGTCTTTTCAGTCTTTATTTGCACACTGTCCCCATGGAAGACTGCAAGCATAGGAAACAATTAAAATTGTGATTTATTTTTTTTTTTGTGCTACAGAAAGTTACTGAACCAAAAAAACCCACCTGAATAGAGTAACTATTCTGCACTGATCAGCTGATGGTGTCCACTTACTCAATTTGCACTGGGCAAAATCTCAACTTGATTGCATTTTAGCAGTCTGCTTTCAATAAAGCATGTAGAGGAAAACATTAAAAGCCATTCTAAATATACTTAGAAACATCAAGTGTACAGAATGAAATGGCAGCAGGAGTCTTTTTAACCTTCTTTCTGAGTGGAAAAATAATCTGAAGTATTCATTAACAGAGAATTAGGGATCATCCTTGCACGTTCTTTGAGAGCATTTTTGTTTGCGTGTCTGGTTTCAGTTTTGGCAAGTCTCTATTAAGACAGTAAATTTTTAGGGGCAAGCTTCCATCTTTTTGTGTTTTTTGAAGTGTTCAAAAATCTGAAGGCCTGGCATGTCTCTACTGCCATATATTGAAATAAAAATATATACATCAGATCAAGGACCATAGCCATAAATTTCTTCACAAAAAATTCAGCTGTTTATGATTTTGGTGTTTGATGTGGTAATTTAGCAGTGTTTGAGGCTGTAGTATTTGTATCATCTGATTTTACTTTTGGTTAGGAAACACAGTATGTATCTTTACTAACATTTCAGTATGCAGTGCAAGTTATTTATGGGTGTGAAAACTTCTGACATGCCCACTTTATATGTGAAATGCTGTGGTTTTTGTTCACGTGATGCTGAAGCCATGTCAGAAGTTGCACCCTCTATTGTCATGAGTTGTGTCACAAGTAACAGGGATGTGGAAGGTTCTTGGCACAAGGTGCACCGTGCCACTGCTGAGCTCTTTCAGCAGCTGGGGACAACGGGGAAATTTCTGAAATGTCAGAAGGAATTGACAGCTTTTCTCCCACTGCATTTCGCTTTTTGAAGTGGATCTCTGTGTTCCTAGCATCAATACCCGTTTCAAGCAATTGTTCTTGAAATTCAGGCAGTTCTCCAGTGTCACTTTTTGTCACCTTGTCCTCTTTAACCTAAGAGAACCTCATGTCAGTGAGCAGAAGTGAAGAACAGGAATGTAGGGAATGTTTCTTAAACTTAACAAGAAGAGAAAAGGCCACCATAATCCTCCAGAAATGCTATTCTCCAACCATTCATTGTAAGAGGATACATTACAGTTACATCTGTTGTGAACTATATACTCTGATTTTTGTAGCAGAAACTTTTCCTCCACTTAGATGTCTTGAAATCTTTTCTTTCTAGATCATTGTGATGTCCACCCAATAATTAGCCTTTCATTCATTAATTGTTATTCAGTGCTAGATAATGCTACAACTTGCATTTTAGTCACTGGCATGTTACAACTGTTTTTTGTGTTTTGTGCTGCTTATTTTCATAGCAATAACTTGAGAAATTTTCAGTCAGTGGGCTGGCTTGAAACTGATGCAAGATAACTTTTTCTTATAACTGCTTCATTTTGGCTATTTATAATTTTGTTTTTTAAGGTGTTGTCCTTGGAAAATATGCAGTGTTTGAAATGTTGATCAATTATTAATCCTGCTGGTTTTGTTCAAAGTCTGTACTGTGATGCACAAAGACCAAAATCTAGAAATATTAAATACTTATATATAATGTGCACTAGTAACATGGGAATTAAGACATCCTTACTTTGTCTCTTAAGAATGTTCAGGGTTTAATTTTGATTCCATTTCAAAGTGTGGTTTGTTTTAGACTCTAAATATTGGCAGTTTTTCCTCAGTAAAGTATTTTCTCTGGTTTACTATTGTAATTATTAAAATAAAACAACAAATAGAGAAACATTTTGCATGTTTGCACTAACAAATACAGTGTTCAGTATATAAAAACCACTCAAGGCATTTGGGTTAACTAAGATAAAATTTAAGATTCAAGTGAGCTCATTATGTAGAAGACCTCTTAGCTTCCAGGACACACTTAGAATTTTTTACCTATGGGCCTAATTTGTAGACTTGTTGTTGTTTTTACTATTATCATCATTAAATTATTATTATCATTAAATAGAAATTCTTTAGTTAATAGTGCTGTATTGAAAGTGGACTAAAGCAATTGTCAGTAATGCATAAAGATGGAATGAGAGTGAAATGCCTCGCCTGGTTTTTAATTTAATAAATTGTATATTTTATATTTCCATGATAAATAATGTTGCATTTCAGCATTTATTTACTGGCCAGCTCTTAGGGGGTTTAGATGTTATGTTACTAGTGTCCAGCCATTACAATTGTGAATCTGTTGCTACATGCTTCTCTTATGCTTCAGTTGTCATGGTAAGATCTCATCACTGTAATTCTTTCATTCTAATGAAATAATGGGAGTCCCCAAAGCCACGTGCCATTTTCAGTACTCACATCCTTCTGTTTTCCTCCCCCAAGATGCAGAATCGGATGGCAGTGCTACTCTGTAACTTGAAGCCTGCGAAGATGAGAGGAGTAGTGTCTCAAGCAATGGTGATGTGTGCCAGCTCTCCAGAAAAAGTGGAAATTCTGGCTCCTCCACCTGGAGCGGTACCTGGGGACAGAATCACTTTTGAAGGTTTTCCTGGTAAGTAGTTATTTAGGAAAATAATAGAAACAAGTATGCCAAGGTAACCTCAGTGCTGAAGCACATAAAACAGCTTTTTTTTAAAGCTCGTTGGGTTTTTTGTTGAAATTTTCTGAATTAATTCTTGTTTTTAATTTTTTTTACTACCATGCTAATATTGTGTAAGTAAATGATTGAAAATACTTTATCATCTGTAAAAAAATTGTAACTTGATAAAGTTGTGTAGACCTTAAATGAAAAATACTCCATTATTAAAGTGTCAGTATTTCAGTTTTGATATATATGGATAAATGTACTTGGCAAATTGCAACAAACAAATGTAAAGCATCTTTCAGAGTGTCTCAGTGTAAATGGTAAAGTATTAAATTCCTAATTCCAGCTCCTCCCTGTAATGAAAGTGTCAGAACTTTGGGTAGTTTTTCGTTTTTGAGGAAGAAGGGATGGAGGGGATAGAAGGGGTTGGAACAACGTCTCCTATTCATGATAGGAGCCTGTAATATTCAAATCACCAGGGTTTTTTGTTTGTTTGTCTGAGACAAAATATCTTTTTAGGTTTCCAAAGAAAGACATTGGACTTTTCCCCACTTAATTAAATTAATGAATCCATCTTTTTTCAGAATATAAATGAGAATTTTACCAAATTAAACTTTATCAAAAGATAACTTTTCATCCATTTTTCTATTTCTTCCACCTCAATGAAAATTATTAACTTTTGACTGCATATTGGGAACTCAAAGCATCATAGGTTTATCATGTTGATCTAAAATGCTGTTTATTAAGAGCTGAGTCTGAAAAGAGAGACTAGTATAAATAATCTTACATGTCACAGATTATGGGAATGCACCTGCAGCACACTGTGCATAAGGAGAGTTTCTTCCCTTTCCATTGTTTGAGTTATTGCTATATCTTTTTACTCATTGTGGCTGTCAATCATAAAGGAAGTTTGTGTTAGGACTTGGTGCTGCCCTGTCCCAAAAAGGTGAGGACACACAGGTGGCTCAGTTGCTGGTGTCACGTGGGAGCTGACTGTAGACTCCTCTCCTACAATCAGCTGCCTAGGTTTATCCTGCACCCAAGGAATTTAGGAATTTCCGCAGCACAGCCCAAGCCCAGAGCTACTCAGGTTGGCTGTTAAGTGGATCACAGAGGTCTTGGTGAGCAGTGCTCTTCTGGTCAGGATCACTGTTACAGAGAAAAAATGAGGCCTTTGTCAGGGTCGAGCCATTTGTCAGTGAGGGGAGACTCAGACACTCAATATGAGTGATAAGCAAGTTCCGTTTATTGAAGAGAGCATCAGACACTTATACAGCGAGTAATAAGCTTATGAATATTCTGTAAGCTAAGCAATCTATTGGTTAAACTATACTATCAACTCTTCCTCATTCCTTAGGGGTTACATCTCTTTTTTCTCATGTCTCTTTCACTGTTTGTTATCCTACCACAGCTAGGCCCAAGGACACTGTTATCTTGCAGGTGCCGGACTTGGAATTAGCCATGGTTTTGTACTTTTCCAGTCCTTAGCAGCTAAATTCCCAACAGATCACTCCACCACTTAAACTTGAAAGAAGTTGCTCCAAATCCCAGTATTTCCCATACTGGCTGAAAGTGTATGTGTGTGCATTTATCAATGAAGTATTCATCTTCAGGAGTTTATTGTTTAAAAGTTGGCTTTCACATGTGAGAAAATGGTGTAACTTTTATTTTCTGCATGGACCCATATGAACCTTTATAAACTATTGCACTTCTGACAATTTCTAGCTGTACAGCAGAGTTTTGATTTATGAACCTCTTGGCAAGCTCCATGCTTAAACATATTTGCATGAAATACCTTTCAGAAATACATATATATGTATGTTTATTTATGCTTCTCAAGAGTGAAATTGTGATGCGTAAAAAAATATATATATTTTGGTTAGAATATGATAAAGGAAGCAATACTCTAGGTGTTTTATGAAATCAAAAAATAGCTCAGCTTGCTGTGATTTAATGCTCCAATTGATATTATTTTAAAAATACTTTAAAATAATACTGTTTTAAAAGGAAATCAGTCAGACAGCAATTTTTTTTCCATTTTAGTTTCCTGTTTTAAAAATATACCAAGCTTGCTAGTTGAATTCTTTAGCTGCACTGAAATCTTAAATGCCTCAGCAATCAATTGCATTGACTACATTGTAGGAATACTCATTCATGGCTTCTAGTTGTGAGTAAAGATGGATTAAATGTGGGGCCTTTGTTACCTGCAAGAATCATAGGTACAAATACACTCACACTGCTGTCTGTTGCTGTGGAAATGGATGTGCAAGAGAGCATCAAGTTGTAGAATAAACACTTCCAGTGCATAAGCCCTGGAAAATGATGTACAGGTTCAGCCTTCAAAAACGTTCTTTGCCCAGGTTGAGGGGTTTTTTTTGTTTGCTTTTGTCTAAGTTACAGCCTTCCTCCAAACTTACATCTCAAGCTTCATATACCTGGCATTTGAAAATGTGAGAGCTGGTAGTAGCACTGTTTTCTGTTCACCAGCATATCTGTTCTTGCACATGACTGATGAAGTGAGATCCATCAAAATTATTGAACTATTTTACTCCAGTTGTTTAGGTTTTTTACATTGGCAAAAAGCTTTCCTAGAACAATCAGTTATAGAAATATTTGTTCTAAAATAATTCCCAGGTGTTATGGTATGCAGATACTGTGTTGACATTTTGATCTTTAAAAGATACAGAATAAGCTAAATATGGTGTGTAAGTTTTTCTAGTTCTGAAGTTATGACTTGCAGCCAGTAAGACAAGATTTTGTGTGGATTATATCAGTTTCCTTCTGGTGGAGAGCCAAAGACATGGGGCTCTGATAAGTGCCAAATGAAGGTTTTTGCAATTCCTTTGCAAGGTGTATATATCCAGGTCTATAGATTGTAGTCTGAAATGTGGCACTGTTTTCTACTGCTTCATAAAGAGCTGCTTGGAAAATTTTGTAGGTAGGAGATTTAAGCTAATCATTGACTTTGAAAATTTACCTAATGCTTAGTAGTACAAAGTAGAGTGATCTGTCTTCTTCTTACATAAAACTTATTTAAAAGAATTTTCAGACTTGTGATTTTACTATCTTGAGTAGGAAGATGAAAAAAATCCATTGGTAGATGGAGACCTACAAAATCATGGTGGCATCTGTTTCTGTAAATTTGTTTGTTGGGTATTTGTCTTTTCAATGTTGCTGTTGTAAACTAAATTGGGGGAAACTCATTGGGAGATGGGGAAGCTCACTGGAGACTGGAGAACTGAGTTTCTCAGTTTTTAACGGGGTTGAACATCTATCTTCTACTCACCTTTTTTGTGTTTAAACCTTCTGCTTCTGGGCTGCTGCTGTCTCCTTGAAGACCATCTGGCACTTGCCTGATGCTGTTTCCAGGAGGATAGACTCCTTGTTGTGTCAGATGTCATTTAATTTCACTGCTTAATTGTAACCATTTATATTCTGATCAATTTTTTTTTGTTTTAAAAAGTAATTGTAAAGCATAAAGATTCAGTTGGAGCCCTTGAAGTTAAAATAGAAAGGACAGCTGGGTCTTATTTAAGTTTGAAGTATGAAAGTCTGTGAAGCAACAGAAGCACCACCAGCAACAATAAAGCAATTCTAAAATGCACACAGCTGTCTATCAAGCAGTTTGGAGTCAAGCTATTTTTAAGTCTTCTCTCTCCATTATACAAAATATTTATGAGATACAGACTAATTTTATTTGGCCATTTTAGTCAAAGTAAACAAATGGTATCTTGTCTCAGAACAATTAAATTTTTTTCTGCAGCTAGTGGAGTGTTTACCTAGAACTATCTTGAGTGTTATTCAGGAGTGATTTGGTAAGGAATGCTGTTGCCTGGAGTACTGTTCTGTTTTGTTTATTTAATTGATGTCTTTGCCCTCAGTGGAATTTTTAATACTGAAGTGTTTTATACTCCAGTGCATGAATCTTCAAGGTCTCTTGAGCCTTTTTTTGCATTAAGAACTTTATCAAATTTTTATCCGTCTTCACTAGAAAAGGTCTGATTTTTAAACTGTGTAAGAATTCTTCCATCGTGTGTGTGTAAATTCTATAACCTCCTGCACAGTAATTGCCTTAAGAGGGCAATAGTACTTGAAGATTTATAGCTAACTGTGAAATCTCTTTTCTGATAGCAGTATCAGATACTTTGATGCCACTGGAACCAAAAACCTGTTACTTAAATTAGATAATTAAATTATCATTCAGGTCTAAGAATCACTAGCAATTTAGTGAATTACTATCTCTTTAAAAGAATGAAAAGTGGTAAAGCTGGAGCACAGTGGTTAGCCTGTAGTTAGCAGGTTTTTTTAATCAAAGCTAGAGTGTATGCATGCTTTCCTTCAGCTGCCTGGTTACAATCCACTGTGGGGCAAGTGACATTAAGTAAAGTCACACATCACTCTGTCCTTTTTCCCCTTGCTGTGCTGAGATATATTCTTTCAGCGGTTTTTTAACTGTTACAAAGTGGAGAGGTTTCTTGCTTATTATGAAAATTTTTTGTAATAAAGTGGTGAGATGGAATGATATGTTTAACAAAATTTGGGACCTCTTATTTGGCCCATTTTTGGTAAAAAGAGTGGAAAACTGATTAAACCATTAAAAGCTTCAATTTATTTTATTTATAGAAACTCTTCTAAAGAATATTTTCTGGGAAGGAGGAATACAGTGAGGAGAAGGCATAGGAAAATGCACAGCCTAGAGCTCTGGTAGTATTTAAAATTGGTGCCTATGCTAATCTAATGTGAGCTCACCACAGATCCCAAGGGAGCTTGACGCAGGATTCCAGAGAAACTTATTAACATCCAAAGCCTGTTTTTTATAATAAAAGTCAGGAGGTTTTCTTACTGAAAAAAAGAAATCATGTGCTTTTTATATTTGAGGAGAGGAAGGAAAATGTACAGTGGATCACTTAACATTCTGTTTAATGATTTTATTAGTTTGTATGCATGCACTGTGGTCTAAATCCAAGTTTGCCTTTGTTCATGAACATTAAGATGATTTATCTTTGTGTAAATGCACAATTAGCTCTAAACATTTACTAATTTTATTTAGTAGTGCAATTATTTAAGTAATTAGAGTTATTTAAATTTCTTCCTCTGTTTAATATTAATTATAAATATTGTATAAATAAAATTATTGATGTTGTGACTGATTTTTCTTTGAAACACTAAATGCAATCTGGATGTGAAATAACTTGACTGCATTACTAGATACTGCTCTGATAAGGCTAGCTTACTTCACAGAGAAATCTGGCTTAGTCTTCTTCTCTTGCATATGTAGAAACTACAGAATACAGACACCAGACATTACAGAATACCCATACAGACAGAAATAGCTCAGGTTTGCAGGCATTGAGAATGTGAGTAGACTGAACTATGCAAAACATTTAAAGGAGAATACCAATAAGGCATAAGACAGGCTGGAATGAGAATAGTGGATTTAACCACTGGTTGGTGAGTCAGTCAGGACTTAGCAAGCAGTGATGAATTTCAACCACCTATTAGAAAAAGATATGTTAAAATCCCTGTATTTAGTTTGGTTTATGTCTGTGCTTTGAATTTCATGCTTATTTAAAAATAGGAAAAATATTCTTCATTATGCTATCTAATTTGTTGACAATATTTCAAAACATTAATAGAAGAAGTCTGCACTTTGTGGTTATTTGAGATCCTTAAATAATCAGATTTGCTAATGTAGTTAGTTACTGTCAATACCAGTAGGGTGTAGGTATCTTATCATTATATATCCATGGAAGCAGGAAACTGAGGCTTATCAAGACTGAGGCCATAATTGCTGAAACTCTAGCTAATTTCTACTGCCTCTGTTGTTTTGGGCTCTACAGCTTGTCATCAGACAATACAAAGCATAGCAGAACAGTGTGTAACTCGGGGCTGAAATTATATGTCAGTATTCTACCTCTGGACTATTCTTGTCTAAATTCAGTACTCCCCAGCTGTAACAGCATCTGCTAAGTGCATTTAATTTCTTATAAAAACATCATTCATTTCTAAAGTTAATATGCTGACAAACCTGTCTTGGTGAGCAGTGTACTTCTGTGGTCCATATGTACTTAATTCTTGGGAATTCTTTCGTAGTATAAACTAACAGCAATGGTTTAATTTCTTCCTTTTGACAGTGCTTATTGTCTGATATGACCTTTGTTGTATCTGATACTTGAAAGATCCTCTTTTTCAGAGAGGAGACATTTCCTAGACAATTCCTAATTCCAATTAAAATTTTCATTTTGAGAATCAAAAGGAATGGTAGGGTTTTATCCCTTAAAAGTGTGTGCAGTGATGCTGTGTGGGCTGTCATAGATGTGTAAGTACATGATGCTCTTGTTCTGAGTTGTGTGCTATGAGGTTATTCTTTGTTTTGAAACAGGAGATCCTGAGAAGGAACTTAATCCAAAGAAGAAGATTTGGGAGCAAATCCAACCTGATCTTCATACCAATGACCAGTGTGTTGCTGCATACAAAGGAGTTCCATTTGAAGTGAAAGGGAAAGGAGTGTGCAGGGCAGAGACCATGGCAAACAGCGGAATCAAATAAATAAATAAATAAATAGTTATTAGAAACTTGTACAGATGTTGAAATGGAAAGTGATGCAAGCAGAATAAAAAACATTAAATGTATGGCTAAGACCTGTTTTTTTTGACTTCTTTTCCATAATATGTTACATCTCCAACATTTTGACAATTCACTCATTCACTAGGCTTGTTGTCCTTGAGGTTGTGTGCTGTCAGCAGTTATTAACCACTCAGTGCTTATAACTTAATTGCCAAGGCTTGTTTGTGGGACCACAGGCAGGCAAGTAAATTTTCTGGACAGCTTGAAGATGTAGAGCTTCTATTTAGCAAGAGCTAAAGGAAAGAAGGAAAATTTTCTGCCATGTTCCTTGTGTGCTAATTGCAGGACTAGCAGCTGGTTAGTGAAGATCACAATTGTCTTTATTCTTCTGGTCACTTTGTAATAGTTTTTCTCCTCTTCCTCCAAGCAGTTTTCAGGTGTATTGTAAGCTTCTGCAGCTTTGTTCTTGCCTGCGTTCTCTCTGTAGTCTGCAGTCAATTGTAACTGGAAGATTAAGCTATGTTGGTTTATGCCCTAGGATGTTCAGGTGGACACATTTTCATGTCCCCAGAACTAAACTGCTATAATTTCATTAAGATTGAAGCTGCCACTTCGCTAGAATAGTTCTTTCTCTAGTCAACCTAGGTATATCCTTCCAAACCAATAGGTAGGACTAAGAAATAATTAATAACAGATTCCTGGAAGTAATAAAAAATAAAAAAAAACCCTCAAACCCCATAAGACCAGCCTGCAAGAAAACCCAAAAAGCAACCAAACAAAAAAAAAATCTGTTTCCAATGCTCAAACAGGTATAAAATGAATTGATTTTTTGGTTTTGTTTTAATGTGCTTTTCTGCAATGATGTTTTGTACAAAAAGTGCTTTGGTTTTAACAGAAATAGCTTCTTCAATTTTTAGAGTTAGAATTATTTCATAGTAATGTTGTACAAATAGCTATGTTGCTAGGCTATTAGCCTCAAAATCATTCCTTTAATTCCTTACTTTCAGTAATATGAAAATAAATATTTTAGATCCATTTTCAATAACTCTTTTAAGTAACTATGTAGAGATAATTCAGATATTTTTGCATATAATATTAAATTAAATTGTTGCTGTATAACCATTGAAACAGTAAATACTATTTTAAATACTAAAATTAAAAACAAACTTGAGCCTGTCTAAATTTTGCAGGCTTTGAACTTCATCCAGTAAGTGGAGAGAAAACAAAATGACAGTGATATAAAATTAAAAGGAACAGGCATAAAGAGGATATGAACAGATTTTCTTTTTGAATGAGTTTTGTTTGTGCCTGTAAACTGTCAGTTTTTCATGCATCTGGTAATAAGTAATAGCAATTAGTTCTTTTAAATGTCCTGAATAGTATTAAGCACATGGAAGCCATTTTATCTGCCTTGTAAACTGTATATGCTAAATGTCTTATTAAATAAAATCATTGTAGTTCAAGAACTCAGTTATAACTAATCTTGAATCATGGTAGGGGATACTTTTACAACAGATAAATCTTAGCTTTTAGTACTGGAAAGCTCTTTTTAGAAATGGAAGTTCAGAGGAACTTCTGAAGGCTTGAAGAATTGAGCAAAGAGGCCTCCTGAGTCTGAACTCATGCATTTTTTTCTTTTTTTTTCTTTTTTTTTTCTTTTTAAATTTTATTTTATTTTTCCAGATCTGTATTCTGTGTAAACTGGAATATACAGTCTGGTGTAGTGCAAAATCCCGTTTGTAACTACACACACATTAGGAGCATGATTTTGGATCACTAGCTTGTTCTGATTTTGTGGCTGAATCTAGATTTTGAATGCAGTAGTGTGAGGTCCTCTGTGGAAGGCAAGTAGTTTGATAAGCTAAAGAGATATTTCTAACTGTGTGTTCAAAGATGTTTGGTATGGATGTGGAGTTTTTCAGTTGATGGCTTTTACTCTTTTATTTCTATTAGATGCTACCTAATGTAGAAAATAGCCAAGTGAGCACCTTAAAGCTAATTTTATTCCTTGCTGTGTTTAAGTAGTACTTGATAATTATTTCTTTGTATGAAATTCAAGAGCTTTCTTAAGACAATATTTCTTTCCTCTCTAATTATGCTGTTGTGGTTGTCTAGGAAGATGTATTTATGCTGTACCGAGCTCAAAAGTGACAACAGGGTACTTGAGGCGCTCTGCAAATATGTTTCCTCACTGTATCCAGCCTCTCTTGCCTTGTCTGCATGAGTAAGTAGGACTGCAGTGAAATCCTTCCACGTGGGACCCAGAAGTTCCTGTAATGAAAAGCAAATTTTAACTAGTTATCTCCTATTTCTTTTCCCCACTCCCATTATATGCTTAGTACATTACCAGATCATTTACTTGTATGTTTTTTTTTTTTTTGCCCTGGCAGTAATCTAGTTCATGTTATCCAAGTTGCTGAAATTTCTGGGTCTTTTTTCACCTTTCTGAGACACTGACATCCACCTTCAGTGGAAATATGTGGTCATGCAGTACTAGGGAGTTCTCTGTTCCCTGGCTGCAGATTTTAACAGAATGTCTCCAGGTAAAAAATGTTCATGTAAGTAAGGAAAAATGGTTGTTTGGCCATGTCACACATTAGTTTGGAATCGGTAGTTGCCACATATTCATATTGCCACACTTTTTAGAACTCCTAAAAAAATGTTTTTGAAAACACTGAAGCACCTTTTGTTGAAAAAATAAATGATGAATTTCTATGTAACACCAACTTCAGTTCCAACTGTAATCCATAAAACTCAACTTTTCTCAGCAATTCAGGAAAAATACAAATCAAATGCAACACCTTAAATAATGGGCCAGAGAGCTTTTCTTCAGCTTCTGTGATTTATCTGATGGAGGAGAATGGAGAGAACAAGCTGCTTTTCTTTCAGGAAGTACAGAAAATTTTAATAGAAATAAGAGAGGTTGGGCTTTAATTTACAGGTGGAAATGGAATTACGACTTTGGGCAATCCTGCTAACTCCTGTATATGGCAAGAAGCCTGCCTTGGTGATAAGGACACTGCAGTGATCTTAACTCTGTAACCTAAATGCTGTGGTATATAAAACTACTTTAAAGGATGTCTGCTTGCTTCCAAGGTAAGTGGGGTGTCAAAAACACCTGGTGTATTGATAGTGATTAATCTGTTTTAGACCCTAGGGATGAAAAATACCAAGCACATACAAAATTTTCTTTTAAGCTGCCCAAGGAAGTCTTGAGTTACCAGTTTCAGAAACAGAGGAGAGAGCTTTGATTTGCTGAGGACTCAAAATGTATTACAATCTTTGTTCTGAAATTAGCGTCTGCCACTCGCAATTTATTAGGCTGTTGGAAAAAAAAAAATTACTTTTATGGAAGAAAATATTTCACTTTTCTTTTATGGAAGAGTCAACTCTTCCATAGCTATTGTCACCTGAAGATGAAAGAGTTGCCATTAGGGCAGACTTCTATTTTTTTTTTTTTGTTACCTGGATGAGCTGAAGTGTGTCATGGCTTTCATCTGGACACAGAGGCAGGTCAGCCCTGAGGACCAAGAGGGCCAAGTGCAGGCCTTGCTCCCCGAAGTGCTGAGCCAGGGCTGCTCTCACGGTGTCCCTCACTTGCTGTTTGCCCAGAGCACTGTGAGGGTAGCTGGGGGTGTCCAGCACTCGGATGCGCAGCGCTGACTCGCGGCTGTTCCTCCGGATGAGCCCCGAAATGCGGGCGCTGCGTCCCAGGCTGCAGCGCGTGGTCACAGAGCTGGGGCACAGACGGCTCTCGAAGTCTGCGCTGCCCAGCAGGCTGTTCCCAGCAGCACTTTTGCCAGTCTGAGTCTTTCCAAGCACAACAAGGTTGATGGTCATCTCATTGCTGTCTGCCATTGTCAATGTTTTTATCCACTAACCTGTCACTGAGTACAAATAACATTAGGTGCTTCAGGGGGTGGGGGGGAAGAAGAGGCAAGAATTTCCATTATTCAAAGTCTTTTGAGTGTTTTTCCCTGCCTGAAATGTGAAAAGAGTTTTAGGAAGAAGCAATAATGTTGTGGAGAGGCAACAGAGAGACAAGGAGTTGGGGAACACCTGTGGAAAACACTGTTGCCATTCTGGGACAGTAGTAGGTTAGGAGAAGGAGGCTAACTAGGGAAGGAAGAAAAGAATGGTGACGTATAGGGGCTGCTGTTATTAAGTGACGGTGTTTCAGGATGTAAATATTTACTTGCTTTAGGCAAAAGAATAATCAAGGATAAGTAGATTTTAAGGGAGCACATTTTCACAGATTTTTCATCAGCTACCACTGATGTTGAAATAGACAGTAGTCTGGAAGGGCTTTCTGATGCAGAAAAATACATCAATTAAAAGGAGGAGAACTGAAATAGCCAATCTCATGAAAGTGAGATTTTGGAAATGTATGCTAAACCAACTTATTAGCGCAGCAAGTGGAAAAGAAAAACATAGACTGGTGGATAGAGAGAGGGAGCTGGCTTGGGATCATTTCCAGTTACTCTATTTGTTCATAAACAAGACCTCTCGTTCTCTTTGTACTTTTCTGTAACCCAGTATCTGAAGGGGTTTCATGTGTGTTGATCATCTAACAGGAAAACTTCTTATTTAAATAAATTGAGACATGTTTGATAAGGTAAAACCATAGTGGCCTATAGTGGATTTTAAGTTTCTGTGACTTGTGAACTTCAGAAAGAATTTTTTCTTTGTTTGTTTTAAGATACTGTGTTTAGTTACTCATAGAGAGGCCATGGATAGTTTCAGACAGGGATTTCCTCCGATTAATTATTTAGATTCCTGCTGTTCAGTTTAAGCTTTTTCTGTCATAAATTCCATGCCCAAATGAATATTTTGAAATAACTTCATTACAACACCAAAGATGCAAGAGCTAGTAACATACTAACTTTTTTACAGTCAGCATTGAATACGTATATGACAATCTGCCTTACTGGATTTACAGTGAGTGTTTTTTTTATTTTTCAATTATCAATTTTCTTTTAAGAAATATATCTTATGAAATGGTTGTCTTCAGTTATTTATCAGTCTAGATATGCATTGTACACTTGTAGCGTAATAATAGGAAGTAGTAGACATG